GGGGGAAGCACCCACGAACTCGCAGATCAGCTGAGACATCCCGGGCGACGATTTTCTTGAAGCCCTCCATGGAGCAAAATGAATTTGGGAGAGGGTCTCAGAAAAGTGGCCCCTTGAAACTTTTGGCGCTGGGCTGCTTGTTGGTTCCCTTCAGCCAAGCTCCAGTGGGGCTCCGAGCTCCTTTTCTGAGCTCCCATTCTGTCCACACCCCTCAAGCTTGCACGGCGGCAAAGTTCAGTCAGCTCAGGCTCGGCGAGCGGCACGAGATTCGGTTCGGTTGGAGCTAGGTGCGAACTATGACATCTTTTGTTTTTTTCCCCCCCAAAAAAACAAAACAAACGTTGAAGGTTCGTTTAGTTGGGTTGGCTTCCCGGGATCAACGGACCACCAAGAAAAATGTCGGCGACTTCCAGAAATGAGTCGAGACGGAGATATGGATGCGATGGATGCCTGCCAAATTCATGTTCAGGCACCTAATGGGAACCCCGAATTAACCCCTGCACGATTTTGATTGTGGTGTCCCTGTCTAGGTGGGGTTCATCGCTTTTGGGGGGGGGGTTCTATGAAAGTCCCCAGTCAACAAACAGCTCCTATGGGTTTCCCCCTCGCCGAGTGCCTCGGGTCTGGGTAGGCCGAAGGCATCTCCTTTTTGAGAGCAGAAATCGTCGGTGCCATGCCCAAACGACACCTTCATTTGGGGCAGGTCGGGATCCTCAATAACAAGTAGATTGATTATTAGTGAGGGAACCATGACGCCAAGGAGTTTTTCACATGGCACATATGGGTGTCTGATAAGATCAAGAGCCTTTGTTGTGGATTAGCGCAAGGCTGATTTGGGGGATGATTTGACGCCTCAGTCGGCGTTTTGCTTCCACATGGTTTACATGATTTTGACGGATTGAGGATGCACCTGCTATCATCCCGAAAACCGCAAGCGGCCTTTGCCGACCAGTTGCTTCTCATCGGAGTCATGTTTCAGAGGGCGGAGGCATCAGGATTTTGGCTGTGCAATCCCCACCCCCGCAGAAATGGAATTCGGGGAGGGTGACCTTGGAATTCCATTTGCGGCCTACGGGGAACACTAGCACAAATGAATCGGGGGACTCCCAACCCCCCGCTGTTTATGGTGGGGTGATGTTGCGCTTTTGGACGAGTCAGATAAGCTCCCGAAGATTTACCCATGCCTCTCGAGGCAATCCGATCTTGCCGAATGGGCTGTTCCCCTGTCGCTTGCCTGTAGGGCCAGATCGAAGCCTCTCGTATGAGATTGGGAGCGCAATCGCAGGTGGAGAGGGTCAGGAACCTCGAGTCGGGAATTTAGACATCAGGGTTCCCATGCAAGGCCGGAGTTCTAACCATGGCACATATGTTCAGTCAAATTTGCCTGATGTGTCAATGGTTCATTTGGGAGGGGCAGTAAAGCGAGGGGGCAGTTATGCAGGCTTTGGAATTTTTACTGTTCGCGGACTTGAAGTGAGCGCCCAAAACTCACAAAAGGGGGTGGTTCTACTACGGGGGTTCATAGGGGTTACAGTAAGCCCTGTACAAACCTTTATAACCATGTTGGTCGATCCAAAAGTCAGCTACCTTGCTCGAGCGCTTTTGGGGCAAGGAGAGGATTTTGGAGATGCTGGAGATGTGGTTGCAGTTGGGACCGGCCACAAGGAAATTGGACTCGTTGCCCCCTGATAAATACCCCCCCCCCCCAGTTATCTATCAGGAATCAGCGGGCAGTATCTAAGAAACCTGCAAAACTGGAATTTCTCCAGGAAGCTTGTTTTTGGTGGGTAATTGAACATCCGATTTCCTGTAAAATCTGCTTAACATCTGCTGGTTTCTATGAGAGGGGTGTGCATGAATCAAGGGTTCTAGGTTGATGTCCCATTCTTTTCAAGCGCCGTTCTCTTCCACAATCAGCTCCGTTTCCCCGTGGTTTTGGGGGTGGAATTCTGAAAGCAAGGATCCCTTGCAAAGAACGGGACGTTCCCCTATAAAAATACACAGTGCCCTCCAAGGTTCGTTTCACTTGCCCTTCCCTGTGAGCCTTTGGATCATCCCTGCAAATACCCGCCTGTTTTCTCGGGTATCATGTCGACCCTCTACTGAAAAAGCAGGACTTTTTCCTATGGGAAACCAAGTTTTCCAAGCAATACGAGGGTATTTGGAGTAGGCAGGTTTAGCTTTCCTGCAGGATGGAATCAGCAACTTGGGTTTTCAGGTTTACTTGGTCTTGGTGACAAGGGATTCGCCCAATCACGGATGTTTTTTGAGACGAGTTTGGTGCCCTTCAAAATTGGTTGCTTTGAGTGTTCTCCACTTCAAAGTAATAGCACAAGCAATATGCAACATGATGCTGAGAGTACCTTCTCACCTTGGTTTAAAGGGAAGCCAAAAGTACTGGGGGGTCCACCTTTGGATTGCGGGCGTAGTGCGAAGTATTTCAACTCCCGCGCAGTTGCCAGAATTCTATGCGCGCTCGGCCGGCTGGAAGCACCTGGGGTTCAGCCCTAAGAAGGAGACCCTGGACAGCAACACCCCCCAGCTTAGAGTGGGACAAATTGATTGTTTTTTGGTCCCATGGAATGCAATGCCAAGTTGCAACTTGTGCAACGGGATTTTCAGGTATGGAACTCGACCACTTTGGTTCCACAGATTTTGGTCAGACAAGTTCCTTCGAGCAGAACTGAGACGGTTCTTCTGGAACCTTGCGAGTCTTTCACAATCACTTCCCGGGTAATTGGAGGCATGCGTCACGTGCGACACCCAAAGGCCCGACCCAAACAAACCAAAGCTCAAGCTAGATAAGCCACAGCAAGCAGAAAGAAAAGCTCTATCAAATTGGCCAGAATCCACCGCAACTAAGCACAATCCAACGCAAATAGCCAGAATCCACCGAAATTAGCCAGAATCCACCGCAAATAGTCAGAATCCACCGCAAATAGCCAGAATCCACCGCAAATAGCCAGAATCCACCGCAAATAGCCAGAATCCACCGCAAATAGCAAATAGCCAGAATCCACTGCAAATAGCCAGAATCCACCGCAATTGGCCAGAATCCACTGCAAATAGCCAGAATCCACCGCAAATAGCCAGAATCCACCCAGAATCCACTGCAATTAGCCAATAGCCAGAATCCACCGCAAATAGCAAATAGCCAGAATCCACCGCAAATAGCCAGAATCCAGCGCAATTGGCCAGAATCCACTGCAAATGGCCAGAATCCACCCAGAATCCACTGCAATTAGCCAGAATTCACCGCAAATAGCCAGAATCCACCGCAAACGGCCAGAATCCACCGGAATCCACCGCAATTAGCCAGAATCCACCGCAAATAGCCAGAATCCACCGCAAATAGCCAGAATCCACCTCAAATAGCCAGAATCCAGCGCAATTAGCCAGAATCAGCCAGAATCAGCCAGAGTGAATTAGCCAGAGTGAACCAGTAACCAGAATCAGCCAGAGTCAGCCAGAGTCAACCGCAAGCTAGAGTCCACAGCCTTGAGTCAGCCTTGAGTGCTAATTTGCAGCCGATCTCTAGACTGAACTTTTTGGTGGACATCAAGTTGGGTTTTCCGGATTAAACCCACAAACAGTTGAACACTTTTTGCAGCAGGGTCAACCACCAGCAACCAAGAGCTTCCATTTGCGTATCAGAATATGTTTTGTTTTCGCCTGTTGGTAGAAACGGAATCGATTTCACCACTGGCCATATTTTCTCATTTTTCCCAGGGAGGAAGAAGCGAATGGAAGAGAGCCATGAGGCTTATCAGGTGCTCCATTCACTCCGGGTGCTTCCGGGGAGATCTGAGAGCGCAATATTTTTCGGGAAACGAGCGCATGGCGCAGCGCTTGCCGAGGATTCATCGGAAAAGAGGGGCTTCTTTTTTGCGAGGGCCGGTTGTGGGAACTAAAGAACCAAGAGGGGAGAATCAAACATCTTCGTTTGGGCGTGTGTGTTTTTTTGTTTCAAGGTATATAGCTTATCTTTTGGTGGCTCAAAGGAAAACCAAGAGGATCACCAAAATCCGTTCGGGGGGTCCAATCCTAAAGACGAGCCACCCATATTACAAGACCTCACGGGAACCCCGCCTGGTTGAACCAACCCCAAAAAGGGTACCCCCTCTCCCAACACACACGGAGCTCTGCAAAAAAGAACGGCTCTCAAAGTGGATTCGGGACCCTGGAAAAAAGCCGCAGACCCCCTGGTTGATTTTGAGAGATTGGGGGTGTCCCCCTTTAGTGGGGAGCCCTTCTTGCATGCAAATCCGGGGTCAACATTGGCATGGAACCCAAAAGGGGTCCCCCAAGAGGAGGTCCCGCTAAAATTGATGGGTTTTGGGGGTTCTTTGGATGGGCCTACCTTGCGTCTCCTTCTGACCTCCCCATTTTGAAGGGTTATGGAGACAGGTGCACGTTGCCAGACCAAACTCCTTTTGCCCCTTTTGCCCTTTTTGGTGTCCATCATTCTCCCTTTTCACCCAACATACAGCATCATGCACTTGGAAGTTTGGCCAAGTGCTTGGAGGGGTCTCCACCAAAATCTATGAGAAATATATTGTTGGATCCCGGCCATCCGGCCCCTTAACTCACCTCTTAGCTTTTAACTTAGTTGAGCTAGTCACTTTTAGTAGAGGATCTGAAAACGGACAGCCAAGATTCAAGGGTAGACGAAATGTGGAACAGAACTTGAGCTAATATGGGGGTTGATCAATATTCCCCAGTTTTGACCATGGGGCAACTTTCCACGTGGGAAATGTGCCTTTCCAGGGTTCCAGTTGGGTGTGATGCACGTCCTGCAACCTAGTTGGGGGCTGGGCTCCAAACGTGCAGAAATGGAGCCATGAAACAAAGAACAAGCGAGCAAAGAAAGGAAACAAGCAAAGAACAACCAAGAACTAAAGGCACGAAAGAAAGGAAAGACCAGCCAAGAAGGACGGACGTCACCCACCCTCCGCCCGTGGGATTTCTGCTGCGGTCGGTCCCTCCAGCCGCGCCCCAAGGCTTCACTCCTATTGCGGCAGCCCTGAAATGGCGCGAGGCTGAGAGGCGGAAGGTACTTGGGACGACCCGCTTGAAGGGACCCACGTTTAGGGAATCCCATTGTTGCTTGTTTTTTAAGGGTGCCCCTTTTGTGAGCTTTTACAGGGAAACCAAAAGGAGAACCACTTTTCCTTTTTGTTGGGGAGGGCCTGAAACAACTACACGCCCGTGCTGTGTGGGTGGACAAAATCCATTTTGCACCGCTGAGTAAGTGGTTCATCCCATGTTTGTCCCAGAAATTTGCAGGGGCTTCTCGTGTTTCATCCATCCCAACTGGTGCAGGAGTTTGTCCGTCCGCAGTAACCCTTGACTTCTTTTTCTGTTTTTGGCCCTGGTAGCCCACGATTTTCCCTTCGAATGCAGAGGAAGCCGCCCGTGTGAAAGGTTATACCAGGTTTTGAAACCAAACACGCTGGGTGTTGGTTGCTATTTGCTTTGACCTTCTTTAGCGTTGTAAGCTTTGGGGGGTCGGAGACTCAGGGGCATTGAGAGGTCGGTGGGTTCTCATTGGGAGTTTGTTCTTGAACAAAAACAACAACACACGCAGAACGGCAAGCAACTTGGCTTCAAGACTTCAACACCAATGATGCTGAGCATGGAGACTAGCTTCACAGTAATTGGCGTGTTGTTCAGTGTTGTTCCTTTTTTCAGGTTCTGTTCATTTTTCCGCGTCGGCAAAGAACATGGTTTTGGCAAACATGCGAGGGGATGGTTGAACAGTTGCAAGGAGAAGACCCCCTCAGTCAGCCCACCAACAGGGTGCCATTTGAACATGGCAAACATTCAGGAACAGCTTCCAGAGGAGCAACAGAGAGGATCGGCTGAGCCGCAAGGGTTCTTGTAGCCCGACCATGGCCCATATGGCCAGTTTCCTTAAGGCAACGTGTTCACTGGCCAAACAGACTCTGAACAGCCACGCCCAAAGGTTCATCGGAGGTTTTCTTGTGGCATGAGATAACCGAAAGCTTCGGCTTGGATAGAGGAAGAAAGGACGGCAGGGTTCCACATTTTGAAGTTTGTTGGCCAGAGTTCCACGAGCCTATGGTCCTGCTGACTCACAGTGCCTGAAGAAAACAGACCAGGGGGTGACTCCAAATAGAGGAGATTCCGCCCATGGGGGGAAGGAGCGAGGCTCAAACAAATAGAGGAGCCCATCTGGTTTTTTTCACGTTTCCAGCAAGCCAAAGGCGCCCATTGCGATCGCTGGATCCCGGCCTCGAGGTCCCAGCCTTTGCCCGGCTCAACTGCTACTTCTCCTTCTCCGCGCGCGGAAGCCCGGGCAGAGGTCGGCTCGGGCCGCCGAAGAAGGTGGGTTTTTGGTTTTGGGATTTGGAGCCCACCTGACGCTCGCGACGGCGGTTTTTTCGTTTTATGGTTTGCTTTCCTTTAGGACCAGAAAGAGGGGTACCAGCTAAGTTTATCGACTCGGCTTATTTGGATCGGGGAGAGAAACCCTCTGGTCCAGAAGTCCCACAGACTCTGTCCTGAAGACCGGTGAGAGCGGCAGGTGTGGTCCTCGCAACCATTGTAAGAATGTGGTCCTCCTATATGATTTGGGGCCTAGCATGGGCCAGGGGCATGTCACCTTCAGTTTCCATGGCAACAAGCAAAACTCATCCCTTCATACCCATGTCGCACCCATGGTCCTCTTTGGATTTTCTTGCTACCAGAACGTGGGGGGCTACAGAATAAGGAAAGTGGTTTTGGATACTGTAGCACCAAATCTGGCCACTATTACGGGAGTAAGCTAGTAGAAATGACTCAGGGTTCAGGCTCTTGTATCACGGCAAAGCAACAAGGGAACCACCAGTGCGCATCGCCGCAATCACAGATGAAAGGGTAGAGTTCCTCTGGACAGCGATCCCGGACGAAGGATTGTCCTGTTCACAGGTGTATGGTGGGGGGGTCAACTGAAGGCTCCCCACAGGACACGTCCTTGGACCATTCTTAGGGTTCTGATTGCCCTCCCATGTTGCGCGCCGTGGCCCGTGAGAGTCTTGAACAATTATGAGCACCATTTTAGTGACGGTTGATCTAAACGCCTAATGAGGGGGCGAGGAGTGCAACGCATGCAGGTTCTACCCAGTTTCACCAGATTTTGCAGTAAGGATTATGTAAACCCTGGCAATCATAGAACCAGAAGATGACTTCTTCTTTTCGCTGCTCCGGTGGCTGGTCAAAGTTGGGGATTTCTTTTTTTGGGACCTGTCAACGGTGGCACAAGGCGGATACGGGGCCCAAACTTTGCTTGTCCACGTTGCCATGGAGCCGGACGTTTCGGGGCCCGGTTTGGACGAGTTTCCTTTAAACGGGAGCCTCTGGTGGGTTCCAACGTGGACAGGGCGGTATCCTGGCCATGGGTGAACAGCCCGTACCCCCAGTGAACATCCAACTCCCCACTAAAATGGACTACAATGGGTGGTGCGCCTACCCCAAAATGGTACCCTTGGTTTTGAAACCAAATCCCCAGATGGCAAGCGGATGTTCGGACTTTTCTCAGGTCTATTTTGCACATCCCGAAGCACGCGGCGGCCTTAAGAGCTGTGCCGGAGGAGCCCGATCAAAAAGCCAGCTGGTTGCCGGAAGTGATGTCAGCTGGTTGGAAGGAGCAGGTAAGAACAGTGGAATCTCATCCCAACATATTTTGATTTGTGGTGGACGAAATATGGGTTTGAAATCTGGATTTCCTTTTGGTGGCTCCCAGCCATCCCCGTAGCTGTTCAGTTTTTTTTGGTTTGGTGGGACTCACTAAAAGTGTTTATTTTTGCAGGGGATCTGACGACAGCCAGGTTTTGTCTGCACCCCAGATTTGGGCCGAGATGAGTGTCTCACCCTCTTCCCAACAGTCATGGAAGCGGACAAGGAGCCTGTGAGAGGGTGGCGGTCTTTCAAACCCTACCTGTCCACTTAAATGGCTGGAACCAGGGTATACCCTCCCAAAAACAATCATCACACTTGCCCAGGCAAATCCAGGTCCCAGAAGGTGAAGCGCCTGGATTGCCAGGTCCAAGCTGTGGAACTTGAAATTCAGCAAGGAATCACCACAATGTTCCTGGTACAAGGACCTTCTTTCAGGTTTCATGTTTGTTTTGGGAAGGGTACTTCACGTTTCAGGTGGTTTGAACGTCGACTGAACCGGGCAATTGTGATTGAGCTTCCTGTTGGCAAGGTGGTCCTCTTGCGGCGACATATCATGAATCCTCAACACCATGTAATCCTATCAACTATTTCATTTGAGCCGACATTGTTGGTTTTATCAAGTTTCCTTGTATGTCCCCCTCTTGGATTTGAACATCACCTTTTGGGCCAGTCGAAAGTGAGTTTCTGTTTTCGGTGATCGTTGTGGGTTGGAAGGTAACAGGGAGCCTGGTTTCTTGCCTCGGCGTTGGGCCCGTAGCTGCAGTGCCCGGGGCCCCATGTCTTAGAACCCATTTTTATTGTTGCTATCCTGTTGTCCCTTGAAGCCAACCTGAAACGGGGCCGCTCTTCCGCCATTTGATGGCGGTAAAAAGCGAATATGACATGAGCAGCGCTTGAAAATTCAACTGCCATTTTGGGGATCCATTTCCTCATTTTCAGACCAGCTCATGAATCATGCATACCCGACCCAAATGAGTGTTTCTCAACTGATGGTTTTGTTTCCTTTTGGTTTCGCTTCAAAACCCCAACGGTCGCCTTCCCTGTTTTTGGACCTCCAAAAGTGGTAATTTTGCTGGAACCCACTAGTAGACTGCAACTTTTTATTTGGGGCGATCCAGTGTCCCTCGTCCATGACAAGCCCACGGTTTCCTTTTTAGTTTCGCTTCACGCACCCAGCCAAAATAGTTGCTGGTGCTCAGCAGGAAATAAAAATAATGAACCCCATAAACCAAAATAACGGGTGGTTTCCTTTGAGGGGGGGTTTCATTCCCGGAGCACCTGCAAGAATATATGGCTGTGGATCAAAAATATGTACCCAAGATGGACCCTTGGTAAATGGAAACAAGGACTAAAACCTGTGGTGGTTCAGTTTTGCCTCTTGACCCATACCCATCTGAGGAATGTAGTCTGTTGTGACGGGCCTTGCACAGCACCTCGAAAATCGCAATCGTTTGAAGTGCAAGGAAAGTTTAGCCAACTGAGTAAAAGCTGATGAAGTCTTGCTTATTCGCCACCTGGAAAAGACATGGAACATATGTCCAGTAGTTCCGTGTAAAGCCTACAAGGGAATATATATATATATATATAATAATAATCACGATAAATTGAAGAAAAGCTGATGAATTGGTGTCCGCTCCCGAACGATGCTACATTGAACTCTGCACTTGGCAAGGGGCATGTGCGCTGCTTGTGTTCGTGTCAATATGAAGACCCAATAGAATGCGTTCCCTTGAGACATCACCATACCCATACATACCCACACATATGTACTGTGTATATACATGTATATATGTATATACATACACATATATAAAAAAATGCATATATACATATATATATATATATTTAAATATATATACATATACTGTATGTATATACACATATACACATATATTTACATCTACATATATCCACATATATGCACACATATATATATATATACTGTATATACATACATATATATATATATATGCACACACACATATGTATATATATATATATGTATATGTACACATATACACACAGATACTGTAGATATATAGATATGTAGATACATATACATATACATATATAGATATATATATATATATCTATACAGATATATATATATTTACACATACACATACATACACATACATACACATATACACTGTATATATACATCTATATATACATACACATATATACATACATACACATTTCTATACATATATATATACATATACATATATGTATACTGAATATATGTGTACACATGTAAATATATATATATATATATATTTTTTACCCATATATATACATATATTCACATACGAAAATACACATATATATATATACAAGAATTTACATATACACTGTATATGTATGCATAAACATATATGCATATATGTATACAGATATATATATATAGCCATATATGTATACGTATATGTGTGCATATAAATTTGTAAATACACACATATATATACACATATATACATGTATACACATATTTACTGTATACATACATACATATACACATATATATATATATACATATATTCATAGACAAATATACACATATATACATATATATATATACTGTATATATTTACATATGCATTTATATACACATATATAGACACATATATACACATATATACACATATATACACATATTTAAACATATATCCATACATATATCTATATATATGCACACACACACACATGTATATATGTATATATGTATACATATACACAGATACTGTAGACATATAGATATATATATATACATACATATACATATATATATATACATATGTATATATATACACGTATACACATACATACATATATACACTGTACATAGTTACATATACATATATACATATACATAGATACACATATATATATACATATATATATACATAGACATATCTATCTATATATATATATAAACATATACATATATTTTTACTGAATATCTTTGTACACACACAAATACAAATATATATATATATATATTTATCCGTAAATATATTCACATATGAAAATACACATATATATACAAGTATTTACATATATACTGTATATGTATGCATAAACATATATACATATATGTATACGTATATATATATATAAACATATATGTACGAATATATATATATACATATATACATATACACATGTATACACATATATACTGTATACATACATACATATACACATATATATATTCATACACAAAGATACCCATATATACATCTATATATCTATATATACTGTATATATTGACATATGCATTTATGTACACATACATACATATATATACATATATATATATACATATACACATATACACACATATACACATATTTTCACATTTATACATATATATTTATATACTATACATATTTACATATGCTTTTTTATACACATACATATATATATACACACATGCACACATATATTTATATATATATATACATATGTGTTTGTATATACACTATATATATGCGTACGCACACATGTATATATATATATACTCATATATGTATATACACATAGTCATATGACCTGTTGCCGATTTTTTTCAACGGGAGACGAGACGAGACCGGGAGGAGCGCCTGCTCATTGAGACCGACTCCCCGGACCAGCTGCCCAGAGCCTTGCGGGGGAAGCAGCCGGAGGCGCCGTGGAGTGATGTGGAGTTCGGGCTGGTTGCCGTTTTTGGGGCTGGTTTGCAGGGAAACCCAAAGGCCAAACCGTGGCGCCATTTTGTGGGATCCCCTATTTAGCGCTATTTTGTGTGCCGTAACACTGAGAAGGTATTTGCCATATGGATATATGAGCACTGCTCGCTCTTCTTTTTCGCACCCTTTTATCACGCGAGGTTTTGCCTAAGCCTGCCAAAGAAAGGTGCCCTTTTGTCCGCATGGCCTGGGGGTCTGGATGCTGTGGCTTAGAATCGGGGACTCTCACTAGCTGTTTGCCTGCTTTTGGTTTCTTTGAAGCCACACAAGAAGAGGCATCCTCAAGAACGACACACACAAACACACACACACACACATACACACACACACACCCACGATCGAGTCTTCCTGAGTTGACTATGGTTGGTTGGTTCATTTGGGAGGGACATGAAACAAGTCATCTTGACCATGGCTGACGTGAGCGTGCCTTTTTGAGGGATAATCCCTTTTTGGGGTTGCCGTTGAGTGAGTGTGCTCAGGTAATGTTTCAAGGGAACGCATTGTGTGTTCTATTGGGTCTTCATATTGACACAAACACAAGCAGCGCACATGCCCCTTGCCAAGTGCAGAGTTCAATGTAGCATCGTTCGGGAGCGGACACCAATTCATCAGCTTTTCTTCAATTTATCGTGATTATTATATATATATTTTCCCTTGTAGGCTTTACACGGAACTACTGGACATATGTTCCATGTTTTTTCCAGGTGGCGAATAAGCAAGACTTCATCAGCTTTTACTCAGTTGGCTAAGCTTTCCTTGCACTTCAAACGATTGCGATTTTTGAGGTGCTGTGCAAGGCCCGTCACAACAGACTACATTCCTCAGATGGGTATGGGTCAAGAGGCAAAACTGAACCACCAGGAATTGGACCGCAGATTCTAGTCCTTGTTTCCATTTACCAGGGCAACCCATTTTGGGGCTACCCTATTTTTCACCCACACCCAGATCTGTCCTTCCAGCTTTGAGCGAAGTGATGAAGAAACACTTTCGCGTGTTTTTGTTTTTTGGGCAAGCCAGACGTGTTTTGACTTTGGTGTACTTCATAGAATACCCGGAGGAATTCATGGCTACACGAAAGTGGCACATCAGTCCATACAGGTGTATCAAATGTTTGGATACCCAGGAAAGGAAGTCAACACCTTGATACAGATGGTTTTGCAATCCATTGCACGGGGGTTATGAAGGATGCTCGGGTCCCCTCCAGGACGAACATTTATTATTATTACTATTATCCTTTTAAGGGCAGGCAAAATATGAAGCAGACTTTGAACATACTATTTTCTGCGTGACCCTCTTTTGTGAGCCAGAAGGTGCTTGTAAATCAATGCATCACTGTTCTTGGCATGGAGGTTTTGGGAGAACCAGTAGCCCACTATTACCATGCAGTGGTGGAGTAGTGCCCATGTCAATCCTTGACTAGTTCTCTTCATTTTAGTGGGGGTCTTTCACGGAGAACGTGTTTTGCTAGCGTACCAGGGGTTGGGAATTCTCCCACAAGCATCTTACGGGATGATGGTAAGCGGGTGCAACATACCGGATCGCCTCGGTAGAGTGATCGGTTTCATTGCAAGTTTGGGCCTGACATCACATGGCACAAATTCCGACCGATGCGGGAATGTTGCCAACTTCACCAAAACATAAAGCGCTCTTGGGAATGTGTCAAAGTAGGGGGTGGTTGTTTGCCTCCCTCTACAACCTGCAAGGGTCGCAATAAAATACGACCCCATACATCTTGCGAGCATGCTCGTATGAAGTAGCCTCGTGATTCGAATTCGTCAGGGCGGACAGGAACTTCTGAATGCAGGCAGCTCAGAGCTTTGCTCGGTGCGTTGAAAGCACGACTTTGACTTGACGGCTACTTTTTAACTGTTCTTTGGGCTTTGTCCTTTTGGTGAACTAGGTTGGATTTTCCGGATTGGAACCACAAGTCAAACGGTCATTTGAGCAACCAATTTGTTGTATGTTGAACGGGCGAGGGGTGTCTTCTTTTGGTTGGACCCGCCCCACATATATATATATATATGGTGGTTGTCCTTTTGGTTTCCCTTGAGCACCCCAAACAAATAGGTACCCTCAAACGAGACACATCCAGACAGAGACACGGTTGTGGACAGTGGCTTTGAGGTTGGAATCCATTTGTGGCCCTTTGGACTCCACTTCCCAGAGAAGTATGGGACGAGCTGGATAGGTCGTGGTATCACAGAAAGAGAGGTATTTTCCACAAAGTGGGAGCTCTGTCGAGTGGGGGGGCTGTGTCCCGAGAAGCTTTTCTGGCACTGGAGATCAAGCAAGATGGCGCCAGTTGGCTTGTGGCCACAAGCCCAGCAATTTGGTGCCATCTACTGCCCACAGATTTCCTTGGAACCCAAAAGGATGTTGATTCAGTGCTCCAACCCCAGGCCAAGAAGTGGAGCCAGACTCCAACTCGGGGATCCGTTCCAATTGCACCGAAGGATGCAACGTGTGTGGAACATGGGAAAGGAACCCGTTGGTTCGAGCCCAACGGGTCCAGAGGTACCAGAGGCGAGGTGTTTGGCTTAGTTTCCAGGCGGTGACTCTGAGGGTGACTCTTGTTGGGTGGCTCGTCCGTTTTCTTTAAAAACAAAAAACACTGTTTGGCGGTTGAAAAGGGAACCAAAGGAAAACCGAAGCCATGTTGGAGGGTCCGGCATGAGCCTCTGGAAGTAGACTGAACAATTTTGGCGAGGATCCGCCACGGTGTTCCTGGAATCCGGGATCCAAGTATCGTCAGGTTGCGCCCATTCGATCCTGGCGGGTTAGAAAGTGCGTCGAAGGAAAAACCAACCTCATGGTTCAGAAGACCCTCCATAAAACCCTTTTTGGGACCTCCAAAAGCGGCGATCGTTTCAAGGCACCAGGGAAAAGGGAAATCTTGTGTCGCATTGGTCCGCAAAGCCGACATAATTAAAATTACTAAGGATTCGTCAGTGAACCCCAGGTCCAAGCGGTATGACTCTAATCTTAAATTCTGAATGCACAATCCAGTTAGCTATTTAGAGGAATCCCCTGGATCATGTCCTAAGGGAACCACCCGAAACCCGTTGACATCCGTGCCAATGACGGGCCAAGGAGCCCCAGTTTCTGCCCTTGGTGTTGGAGGGTGCCGCTAGCATCCGCCAGGCGGGGCAAAGGGCGACAGATGGGTGTACCACACTCCCCAATCGGGTGGCAACTCGATTTGGAGCACATGCCAACTTTGATAGACCCTGTTTACCATGAATGTTATTTGGTTTTCAGGGGGAAGGACTTGCTCAGGGAACGAGAATCGAAGTGAATTTATTCAAGTGGTTCCCAAAGAGAATCTGTCATTCCCAAGCCTGGAACCAGCGGTGTTTTGCCAGCTCCCGCTTCGGAGGACCTCCCAGTGGCCATCCGGAAGCTTCAGTTGGGCCAATGGGAAGCTCGGATTCCGGAACAAAACGGAACACAACGTGCCAATCAGGACGGTGGTTTTCCATGGGGTACGGAAGGGATCTGTATTCTTGCAGTTCCTCTGACTAGGGCCTGCGGATTTGGTCTGAAGTTCGAGTTAATGGAAACCCAGGATTCATGCCCTCTCTGCAAGAATCCTTTGCTGGGGGGGTTGAATCCCACTCGCCCTGCATCCGTGAGGTGTATCAATCAGTCAAGGTGCACTGTCGATCCCAGGAATCAACACTACTGGTGTAGGCCCACAAGTTTGTGGGCCAGTTGGCGTTCCAAAGGTAAAGCTTCATACTCTTCATGTCGGGCCTTTTTCCTATGTGCTTAAGCGGCAAAATTGGCCAGCTTAGGTTCAAACACGTTTTGAATGCGTATATACATATACATATATATATATATATATATATACAGGTGAAAGGTGGCGGGGTCAGTACGTAACCCACAAGTTCGTCACTTTTAGGGCTGAAAACGGGCCGAGAAAGGGTTCAACCCCCGTTGAATGAAAGATTGACCCAAGTTGCATGATGAAAATCCGTAGGTTGTATAAATCTTGGTGCGATAAGTAGGGAATGAGAAATGGAATGAGCCCTTTGGTCCAAAGGAAACCACCTGGATGGTTTAAACCGGGGTCATTCCATGATTCCCTGCCTATCGAAAACACCAAGTCAAATGGCCGGCCAAAATCCAAATCGTACCCCCAGTGAACATCCGATTCAATCCAACCACTAAAATAGGTTCTAAAATGGGTGGTGAATTCACCTACCAACCAAAATGGGATCCAAAGCGGTTTTGACCGACAGCCAAGTGGTGGTAACTGAACCCCAGGGAAAGGAGCGACCGAATTGGCGGATGCCAAACGAGGTGCCCGCGGCGCGACTTGCAGAGCTCACCTTCGACAATGCGGAGCGCGTCTTTCGGCGGGGCGGTTGGTCGTTCCGAGGGCGCCGTGGGGCGGGTGCCCCGAAGTGGGAGGGGCGTCCAAGTACCCCCTACTGCAAATAGCCATCATTTGTAGGGTATCATGCCAACCCTTCATGGGAAACCCAGTTTTCCAAAAACATATAACATACCCTGGAAAAAGCGGGTATTTGGAGTAGGGGGTATTTGGTTAAAACGGTACCTTTCGAAGTGCTGGGATTTTTGTTTGGAAACATCTAGAAGGTCTATATGGCGGAAGCCCTTAATCATGCCTGCATGAATCACAAAACATATCAAGCGGGAGTTCTCTCTGAGACATCGGCGTGTCCAGGGCTCTCGACTTTGGCTCAGGTGTTCAATGCAAAAAATAGGTTTCATTCCACTTTGCTCACTCCTTGAGTTCCGTTTCGGACTGAATGTCGCCTGTTTGGGTTACCATTTTGGGAGGTAAGTTACAGTTTTTGGGCCAATAGGCCACTGGTTCCCAATCAAGTTGAAGCATGAGACACCCTAAATGTATTGACATGTTTGGAGACGACATTCTTTGGCACGCCTCAGGCCAAGTCAGTCCATTTCGCAAACCCCTGCTCCAAATACCCACCTGTTTTTAGCGTATCATGAACCCCTTTACTAAAATTCACCATGGGCAACTCCCAAATATACCCCAGCATACCCTTAGAAAAACAGGTGTTTGGAGGTTGCGGGGGTAGTTCACCCAACGGTTGGCTACGGCGTTGCACATCTTCAACCTCTTCGCCCGAACTTGGACTGGGTCGCCCTTTCGACTACGTAGATTTTGCGGGAATTGTCCTATGAGCTGTGTACATGAGTCTATCTAGACAACATCTAATGGGCCCTGCGAATGGACCTTTGATTTGTCCGACTTGCATACCCCTCACATAGCCCTTATATAGATTTTTGCCTAGAGTCCAACAACTGCTTGGAGAACAAGCCACAAAACTAAATCTTGAGTGCCGTGACAATGCGGTATCAATCAACCTGGCAGAATAGTGGGGGGTGTTTCGTCCAAGCTTGATCCGGATATTATAGGACACCCCCTCGTATCCAACCAGGATCCAGAAGTAGGGGTTCCGCACGTTTTTTTGAATTCAGATCTCCAAAAAATTGGCTTGCTCCCCAATCAAACTCACCCCCTTCCCTTTGTCCAGTGCTTTTTTCCGTTTTCTTTGGTGGGTTCCTAGAAAGCAGGTGCTGGCCAAGCAAAACTCTCAGCTTCCTTCTAAGTGGTTTGGTTTGGTGGTTTGGTGGTTTGGTCCCATTCGTTCGAGAACTTTTGGCCGCTTTGTGGCCTCCAAAAGTGTGGCCAAGCGCAAGCTTCCACCTTTTGGGTGGGATAAGGGATGCGGAACTTTCCCCAGCCTTCCCATTCTCATGCAAGCGCTAGGAGGTGGTTTGGATTGGTGGTTTGGAGTTGAAAGCCCGGCTTTTGTAGCGGGTAAATGGGAAAACCCTCCTTAGTCACCAAACCACCGGGCTGCAAACCACCAATTGGAGCGAAGTTTCACTCTTCTCTGCGTCCTTCATCTCTTCTCCAGTCCTCTGCATGGACTGGCCAATGGACTGGCCAATGGAATCACCGGGTGGGTCAAACCGTGAGTGATAATTAGGAAAGACCTAGGAATGGAGGGGAGCGTATGGATGGTGAACTCGCTCCCCACTTCCCTCTTTCAATCCCTTTTAGGCTCGTCTGTCTTGAGGCGAAGGGTACCCTTTTTGGGATGATCTTAAAGGAAAGCCCAAAGGCATGTTTTTGTTGGGGGTGGGTTGGTGGGTGGGTGGGTGGGTGGGTGGGTCCGATTCCAAATAAAAGACACACGCCCTTTTAGTTGAGGGATTCGACAATAACAGGATCCCCGATCCCTCAACTTCTGTCTGGACCAAAAAGGCACAACTTTTCAGAGAAGTTCAGTGACCTGGAGAAATGATCAGCCCCAAAGGCTCAACCTCCAACATCATCCAGGTCTCAACCCCCAAGAAGCCTTTCTTGGTCTCAAGCCCAAAGAAGCCCCCCTTTTCCCCAGCTTTCGGGTCTCCGGCGCTCCGACGGAGGCGCTTTGCCGAGCTGAGCGAGAAAAGTGGGCGAGCGACCTCGGCGAGCGCGGCTTGCGACGGCCTTCGTGCGGAGGGTTTGTTTGTGGATCTCACGCGGGTGCTTAAAGACTCGTGTGTCTGGAACAAGGTTTTGGGATGAAGAAAAAGGATACATCCAAACCCAGGGTATGTTTCCTTTCAGGAACCATGTTTCTTTTGGAGCCAGAAAACCAAGAAACAGGGTTCCGGTAGAAGGATACATCCCAAAATCACCTTGCAAGGATTTGGATCCTCGAAGGATGGCAACAGTGAGGTTTGGCAGGCTCCGGCTGGATCCTTTAAGGGACCCTGTATAAGGTGAGTTTCCTTTTGTTTTTTGACATCTACAGCACACACCCAGGAACGCCGTGGTTCAAAATGCGTTTGAAACGACCGTCTCGGAGTGCAATGCTGACCGCTGGATGGATGAAACATCTGAACCCCCCCCCCCCGGGATTTCTTGGATAATCATGGGTATAAACCGCTCACCACGTGGTGCGAACTGGATGTTGTCCATCAGTATGTTAATGAGGAGCCTTTGCACTGGTCATGATTTTGTTCAAACAACAAGCAATATCAAGGGGTTCCATCTGACGCACGAACCGGGTTTGATGCCCAGTTCCTTGCACAGCGACGTAGCTTTGGCCTCTGTGAAGAATCGCATGCTTCAGGCCCTTTTCGGAACCTAAGGCGGCGATCGTTTCAATTGATCAACCCTTGAGAGGGAAATCAGGTGGCTGGGCTTGATCCTTCGCTGGCTCGATGGGGGAATGCCGCCGACGCGAGATCGTCCAGCTCATTGGTATCCTTCAAAGGCGTCCATTTGCTTAACATGTTTTATTCTCCCCTGCTGGTTTTAAAGGAATTTAAAGGGAATCTATCACTACTGGAAATATGTTTTTTCTGTTTTTTCTCCAGTGGACTTAAGCAAATGGAAGAAGGCCGTTAAACCTCAAGGTGATCCTGCACAGGTACCCTCCCAAAAACAAACAGAAGAAACAAATCTGCACAGGAACCGGTGCCCTTAGGCACATGGTCGGATCCAGGAACCGATTCCAGGTTCCGTGGATGGACAAAATCCTGCACCAGTTGGTAGGTGGTTTCTCCAATTTTTTCTAGGGCTTCATCTATCCCAAGTGGTGTGAAATGGATTTTGTCCACCCACAGTATCTTATTTTTGTTGGAGAGTGATGGAAATGCTGAGCAGCTACTGAGTAAACCGATGCTCCGTCAGTCCCATTTTTTCCGTAACCTCGATACGTTCTCAGGGTCATGGAGCAACCCATTTTCTGCAAATCAACACATCCGTAAGTCCCCTGTTTGGTGCCGAACTTTCTGAACGCGTCCAAGTTCCTTGGGGTTTAGTCCCATTTTCTCTGTCAAAGAAACGTGGGGATTTCGCCTTTCGCTGGCCCTCCAACCCATTCCCCACCCCCCCCGCCCCCCGTGCGCAGGTTCGCTGTGGGCGCGGGCTCTGCCCCAGCAGCGCGGAGGCCAAGAATTGCAACTGAGGAACCGACTTGAAACGTCAAAGCCCTGGGCGCACGCTCGCCCATAGTTGTTTGACGCCCATGAATCCCACTCTGTCCACGCCCACCCTATACATGTATATATATATATATACTTGCATGCATACACATGAGCATATGCTTTTCCGTATGCTTTTCCGGTGTGACTTGAGCTCACAGCTCAAGTCTTCTGAATATGTGCAGAAAGGTGAACGAAATGTGAGAGGAAAAGCTGAGCTAGTTTTCTAGTTTCATGATACACGACACGACAAAGGCAGCACTGTGTGGCAACACCAAAAGGACAACCGAAGCCAGGAGCCAACAAGACACCAACTTCCTTGGTAAAACAAAGGGAGAAAGCGTCGATCGTGTGGTTGCACGGAACATGGCGTGACGGCGGGTGGGACAGGGCAGCAAGAGGGAGGCTTTAGCCCGTGCGCGGGTCATGCCTAAAGTCCCGTTGCCCACACAGCCGGTGACGACGAGCCCAGCTTTTGGTCAGCACAGAAACAGCCGTTCCAGCGGTTCTGGTTGCGAACCGCCCAGTCGAGAAAATCTCCCAGGAGGATTCTATTTTTTGGTTACCCCCATAAAATTAAACCCGGGTCATGAGCTCTCATGAACTCACCGCACCTTCAGGCAGGAGATACAAACAAACCACCTTTTTTGCAACAAAAGTGGCGATCATTTCATTAAAAGCACCCACAGGTAAGTTGAGATCGCATCCAGTGAGAGTACCCCCAGTAGTGCCCTTTTACTTTTTTTTGTAGAGGGTTCCCTACTAAAATAGACTACAGAAAAAAGGGTACTCTTATTTTAGTCTCTTTACTGGAGGACCTAGTGGGGACCCGTGTTCGAGCCCGGATTTTTTGCAGCCAACGTCAGTCGTCGCCCGTTGAGGTCGGAGCCTAATGCACATGATCCAGACCTGCCCTGCCGCGATCTGGCAGCGAGACGAGAAAACGCCACGGGAAAATGAGCCGATCCTTTGGAACAGGGCTCCCGACATGTCCCCTTCTGGTTTTCAAACATGGCTGTGGCTCAAGAACCGGTACCATAATGGAACCCTGGTAAGTGGAAACATGGACCAACACCTGCGTAACCCCTGCTGTTTAACTTTGAGCCACACCCACATCAGCTTTTGGTTTAACGATTTGAGCTGAGTTTCCTTTTGAGGAGATGTTTTAAGCTGGCAACATCGTCGGAACCCTGCGTGGGAGGGTTTTAAGGTTTTACGGCGCGACCCCTTGCCGACATAAAAGGAGTTGTGACATCCAATTCTCGACCCTGGCTTAGTTCCTGGTCTTTTTGCGCAGAGCCAAAGGAGTAAGGTCACGATCATGTGAATTCATGTTTGTTGTTTTTGGTAGGGGGGCCCAAAAGCTCCAACCTTGAAATCACTGCCTCCGAACAGCATGTGGCGCGGATTGATGCCCTTAGCCGTGGAGCCCAAAAGATTGTGGTTCTACTATTGGTATTCCTTGGAACCACCAAAAAGGTGGGTACCCAATCGAGCGAAAACCGAATTGAGCTTCTCCTTTTGCCTGGGGATCGAAGTCTTTCAGCTCCCGAAGGCCATCTGGGTCAGGGCGGTGGTTGAAATGGAATTCACTTCTGTGATACATCAAAAAGGCGTCGCAAAGACCAACTTCCGATCTAGGTCCCCCAGTAGCGCCCTTTCTCACCCCTTTTTTGGTTGGGAGGGTTCCCCTACTAAAATAGACTACAGAGAACAGGGTACCCTTATTCTATCCTCTCTACTGGAGGACCTTCCCATAGAAAGGGGGAGATTCCTGAAGGTATTACAGAAGTGGTTGGAGAAACCCCGTGATCCCACAACCCTGATCGGTTCCTTCGCTTTTTAGATCTTTTAGTTGGTCTAGTGCTTGGGTTTCCAAATTTAAGCCACAAGTTAAACTCCTAGCAAGGGATCTGAGGACTGTTTGGAGTGTTTCGCAGGGACACCAAAGGAAACCACCCACTTTTGGGGGGCTGTCCTTGTCAGGCATGTGAGACGGGGCCGCTGGTTCAAGGCGCTTTTAGCGTAGTTCTTCTAGCAGGTCCTCCGAGAGCCCAGCATTTGCCCGGCACGGTGCAAAGCGCCTCTTTGCTGGGTGGGATTGCTGGGTTGGGTCGTAGGCAGAGATGATTCCAGCAATAGAATTTGCTGAAGTACGTTTTCTGCAAATTTCTCAAGGGAGTGGGGGGTTCCCGGGTTTCGTCACGTGTTGCGAGTTCCAGTGATGTGTTTCATGCGTAGATTCACCTTGCCGAAGGGGTTTACAGTTCGCAACGTCTTGGGGCACAGCAAGCACGGCAACTCGGAGCCGAGTTGGGCCATGAGAGTTCAGGCGGGCCCCGGGCTAGGGGTTGGAAGCTTCTTCCCCCAAGGTTGCGGTTGGTTCCTGAACTTCCATTTGCTGAAATGAATATTGTTTTTATTATTTTTTCCTGTTGGTTTTTGAAGGAATCGATTTCACTTTCTTTTTTTTAACGGGGGACTTCAGCAAATGGAGGTGAAAGGTTGCATTTGGGCCATTTCCACGAATCACCGGCTTTGGAGGATCCAAATCCGCGTAGAGCAGGGTGCAGCCAGGCAAGATGGACCCTCCTTCGGGTTGAAGCCATTGTGGGGGTCCCCCCTTGTTATTTTGAGACAAACCCTCATTTCCTTCATTGTTGTACATCGTTGCTTATTGTGGTTTAGTGGTTGAAATCCAACCACTTAACTGCTAAAAATATTATTTTTTTGCTCCCTTCCAACGTCAACCAAGTTTCTGGTAGGTGAATGGTTAAACGATTCTCTGCCCTTCATCCGGAGCGGTGGACACCAACCAAATGGCGGTATGTCTCAGTTCACCAGCCACGGCAGTTGCCTCTTCCCTTGTGCCCCACTGGCTATTGGGTGCCATTGGATTTGTTTTCGCAAGAGTTCTGGTTTCTCCATACGGTGCCCTGATTGAATCGGTGCCCCACTGGCGAGGTCTCAGAGCCGTTTTCGGAGGATCCGAGCGCAGAGCCCGCAAGCAACAGCAAATGCCTTGAGGCGCCCATTCGCTGAAAAGCTTAGGGAGGCTTGAGTTTGGACCCGCAAAAGGGTGGCTTCCATTTCCTGACATATATTTTTCCCCCTGTGGGTTTCAAAGGGAATCGATTTCACTTCTGGATATATATATGTTTGGCGGCCATGGAAATCATGGCACAGCCCTCGAGTGCTTGTCCTCTCCTTGAAGCGTCTTGCTGCTTTGTCAGCAAAAGCCAGAAGCCAAAATGGAATGACCCCGAAACGAGAAAAACACAGATGCCTTCTCTTGGTGGCTGCCGATCCGGCCATCCGGCCATCCGGTCCCTTTTTGGTTGGTTTGGCGGATGTTTCCTTCAACTCACTGAAAGTCAAAAACTGTTTGCAGGGGGTCTGAGGAAAGCCCAGTTTGAGCTCCTTTCACGGGAATCCCGCACGGGTCATTCCCAAAACCTTTGGTTGACTCCCTGCTGAGAACTGGCCAGCAAATGAGAGTTGGGTGAAAGTACATGACACAACTCACGCCTCCCTCATTTCGGTTTAGTCATCCCCTTTTCTCAACCAACAATCATACCCAAAGACTCAGTTGCCCAAGGCAAATCGACCTTTTAGCCGTTTAATCTTCCCATTTTGGTGACCCAAGGTGATGAATCGACTTTTTTCCTTTGGGTTTTCTTATGTTCCCATTTTTTGTCACCTCTTTTGAGGCGGAGATCACCTTAAGAAAGCGGTTGCTTTGAGACTCGGAGCCTTGGGGTGGTGGTGTGTCGTGCAGGCATGGCTGCTGCTCTTCTCGCCGCTCAGCCTGGCGGAGCGCGTGCTTTGCCTCAGCCGCTTGCGTGTAGGGCACGATGCCGGCCTCATGGCTCAGCGGAAGGAGGGATCTTCTGGAAAATGGGTTGCCCTTTCAGACTCCCCGCAACAGCAAAAAAGCACATAATTAGGCTCATGGGTATAGACAAACATTCCCGTCAAAGAATTGCTGAGGGTTGTGGTTGATTTTTTTTTCGGGGTTTCTCCAGCACTTCTGTGATACTTTTGGGAATTTCCCCGTGATTTTTTGTAGTCGTTGTATCACAGAAGTTGCCATTTCCCGCAGCCCTATTCTGGAAAATGGGGGTTGTCCATTGCCGCAAAGGGTGATCGCTTCAGGAAAGGGCACCCCATATGTGTTGCTTTCAGTTGGGTCATTCGCCTGACTTTGGGGTATAGCAGGCTGGGATTGCACAACGCGGCGACAAAGGCGCAACGAATCAAAGGGCGCCAAACCTTGCGAGAATCAAAGGGAGCCTCGAAAGGAACCAACTGTTTTTCATCAAGGGAAGCCAACACACAAAGACCCAGCTGTTGGATCAGGTTCAGGGGGATGCAACTGAAGTTTTTGAGGGGGGTCAGCTCGACCAGCCCAGTTAGGAGTGAGCCCTAAGATCTTGTGGAAAATTGGGTCATACTGTTGATGGAAGAAATCTTGCATGAGTTTATAAGACTACATGTTTGCCACCCCGCGCCCCCTACTTAACATTGAGTTGCGACGAGCAAAACCGCTCATAGGTTGAAATCTTGCATGACCCAACCCAACTTGGCCAAACTGAGCACCAATGTTAAGCGGGGGGCGCGGGGCAAGTCGTAACAAGATGGCATGGATCTGTTTCAACAGAGATGCAAGATTTCTTCCATCCACCGACTGGTGTAGAGGGCGCTTTGTTGCGTTGTTTCATGTCTGATTGCTGAACCCGTGAACGGCGCAAAGCAAAGCGTTGCGTGCCCTGCGCAGTCAACACTCAGTCAACACTCAGTCAACACTCAGTCAACACTACAGTCAACACTACAGTCAACACTCCCCAAATCCTGGCAGGGCCAGCAAATCCACAAATCAGGGAATTAAAAAGCTAGTTTTACATATTTTTTGATTGTTTCACTACTCACTGAGCCGTTTTAGTGGCCCTGTCAGGGTTTTGCTTGTGTTGACTGTAGTGTTGAC